CTTCCCCTCCTCTCACTCAGCATGTACCCAGTGGCCGTCAGCCTATCCCGCCACCGTGCGTGGGTGGTGGGTCAGAGGCCTCATGCATGCTGGTTGGGATCTCGTGGTTGGCTGGGACTTCTGGGGGCCTCTTGGGCGCCTCTTGGGGCTTCTTGGGGGCCTCTTGGGCCTCTTGGGGCCACTAGAGGGCCTCTTGGGGGTCTCTTGGGAGCCTCTTGGGGCTTCTTGGGGGCCTCTTCTGCGCCCCTTGGGGCCTCTTGGAGGCCTCCTCGGAGCCTCTTGGTGCGGGAGGGGTGGTACTCGAGTTCGGAACCCCCTCGGAGGCCACGATCCTTGTGAGGGGTGTCAAAAAACGCATCCGCCGGAAACTCGCCCCCCCCCCCCACCCCACCCCCCCTTCCCCGGCAGAGCCACCCCGGCAACCCCCCCAGAGGCTGAGGCTCAGCCTCGAGGCTGTAGCTGAGACTCCTTGAAACTCACACGCCGGATCGGCGTATATATATATATATATATCATATATATGTATATAAAATAAGGCTCCACCTGGGGGTACCCCCCCCGGGGGGGCCGACCGCTGCTGTTGTGGTTCAGTACCTCTTGCCGAGCAGGTCGGCCTCCCTGGGAGCATCGACGCACCAGAGCCCAGGGTCCCAGTCCCAAGTCTGGGCACCGATGGAGAATCGTTGTCCTTCTCTGTGATTGGTGGGAGCCGAGGGTGCGGTCTGTGCCCACAGACCGCGCATCCACAGCAGCTGTTCCAAGCGTTATGTTGGTGGAGAACACGGGCATTGTTGCCACAAAGGGGACAATTGACGGAGGATCACCGTTTTCGCGCGATCTGGTTCATAAGTTTCTTGTGCGCGTGATCTTACAGTGGTGCAGTCTTCCGCCGTGGCGACGACCGAGTATTTTCTTTCACATTATTTGTTGTATATATTGTTTCGTTCACATGATTGGTGTGGCTGGGTTTCCTGTCCTTCTTCGACATGCTCCGTCCCAAGTCGGAGGTTGGGATTGGAGGTGCCGCAGGGCTAAAGCCTTACTCCCTCCGTCCTGGGCGTACTACCACCCATATTCGGTTGTCGTCACACGCTTTTCTCTGTATCAGTGCCACGGGTCCAGGTTGTTACGCTTCTTTTGTTCTCAATGTATTATGCATTGCTGGGGGTTCGTCGCTGGAGTTTGTAGCGGTGTCACTTTGATTTATTTGCACTCGTAATGGGCAATATCAGAGGTTCGTGGCTCGTCCCGTTTTCCTCGGCATGCTGTATGTTGGGTTCAGAAGTCGCTATTCCGTTCTTGGCCTCGTGGTGTTCTGAAGGCGGCAGGCCCTCCGGGCTCGCAGAGGCACGTCTGGAGGTCTGTCGTGGCAGAGCCGTCTGGGCAGTGACCTGGGCGCGCCGCGATAGGGGCACCTATTGTGCGGTGTGATTCTCCGTAGACGCCAAAGCCTCTTGGTTGGGCAAGCGAGTTGCAATATATACATATATATATATGTATATATATACACACATCGATGTTCCGTATCCGTTTTGGCTCAAGGCCCGCGGGCGGCCCCGCCCCCGCAGCGCGGCCCCCCCGGCTTTCTGCTTCGAGCATCCCCCGATCATAGGAGCTTGCGCCAGCGACTCCGCTGCAGCGATGGCCGCGGCGGAACCTTCGAGCCTGGAGGAGGGGCGATGGCAGCCTGGATGTAGGGTTCCGACCTCCAGGCGAGAGGCGAAGGCAATTCCGTGCCAGCTGGTCGACTACTTTCACCATGGCTATTTGCTGCGAGGAGAACTGTTTAGCGGCAGTGGTTACCAGCGCTCGAATGAAGGCTTGGTGTCTGTGCTGAAGTATTCAGCTCCAGATGGATCCATCTCCGTGTGGGACCACGCGCTGGACTTTTGCAGCCACGCGCCACATGATAATCGTTGGGAGGTTGTCTTCCACTACGCGTCCAAGCTCGGGTTTTCCCACGTCGCGAATCTGGCGCTGGAGATGTCCACGCTGTTGGCCTCACTCACGGAAAGCCGTGCGCACTGTGGAGCCCGCCCAGTGGGGAAAACGACTACATGGTGATGAACAATTACTGCAGTGGCAACCCGTTCAACTCCAACCGCGAGGACGCCACTAGTGCCCAGGACAGCTGGTCCGACCGGGTAGCTTTTTTTGATTGCGGTGCTGGTGCCGCGCTCCCTTACCTTCAACGTGATGACGCGACCGCGTCCGGACCTAGCCGCCAAGACCCAGGGCGTGCAGGAAAGGGGCAGGTTGCTGGACCCGGAAGCCGGAGTGCTCGAAAGGGAGCATGAAGCACGCTTGGTGGACCCCAGCCGCGACGTTGAGGTGGTGCGCGTGGCTGATCAGCACGGCCACGTCGTGCACCCCGCATCTGTTTCCAGTTGCATCCAGCTGACATGTCGTGCCCCGGTGCGCGTGCTAATGGAGAAGCTCGGGGCCCAGCGCGCCTGGGAAGGGGCGTTCGGGGCCCAGCACCAGGAGGCCCTCCGCGCCGAGCATAATCTCGCGGTCCTCCTGGAGGAGACCGGGCGCAGAGGGGAGGCCCAGGCCCGACGCCGCGCGGTCCTCGCCGCCCGGGAGGGGGCGCTCGGGGCCCAGCATCAGGAGACCATTCGCGCCAAGCATACTCCGCGGTCCTCCTGAAGCAGACAGGGCGCAGAGAGGAGGCCGAGGCCCGATGCCGCGCGGTGCTCGCCGCCCGGGAGGGGGCGCTCGGGGCCCGGCGCCAGGTGACCCTCCGCGCCGAGCATAGTTTCGCGGTCCTCCTGGAGGAGACCTGGCGCAGAGAGGAGGCCGAGGCCCGATGCCGCGCGGTCTTCGCCCCCCAGGAGGGGCGCTCGGGGGCCAGCCCCAGGGGGGCTTTCCGCACCAGGCATCATCTCGTGGACCTCCTGGAGAAGACCGGGCGCAGAGAGGAGGCCAAGGCCCGATGCCTCGAGGTCCTCGCTGCCCAGGGGGGGCGCTCGGGGGCCCACCGCCAGGAGGCCCTCCGCACCGAGCATGATCTCGTGTACCTTTTGAAGCAGACTGGGCGCAGAGAAGAGGTCGGGGCCCTGATGCGGTGGCCCCCCCCGTGGGGGAAGGCACGTTTGGGGGCCGAACGGTGCATGGGATGAATCTCGCACGTCTCTTCAGAATTGGTGCGCCCGCGCAGGTGCATCGGGAATGCGTTCGATATGCGCATATATATATATATATATATATATATATATATATATATATATATTGCACCTCGTAGGCTACACCACATATTGTGGTCGAGAGCGCTGATTCGGCCTTGTGGACATTGGGAAACAAACAGATGATTCCAGTGAGCTTACCACGTAGCGTGCACCACGTAGGTTGTACCGCATGGCTTACACCACGTAGCTCGCACCACATAGCTCACACATCCACAGTGCAATGCTTTCTGTCTGGGGTCGCGCGGTCGTACGCATTTTTAATTGTGGAATGAATTGAGCCTTCTGAATTGCTTTTTGGCGTTCAAGATCGTTTTTTTTGTAACCCTCGTCATTTCTCTGGGTTTTCTGAGGGTTCCGTGGGTGATTATTGAGGGAATTGTGGGCCATTTTGGCAGCAGTGGTGGCCCTCCTGGCCCGTGTTGGAAACCTTGGTGATCTTTGTGCAGCCGAAAGGGGGCGCCTGGCTGCCGAGGAAGTCTCAGGTGGGGGGCGCGCGCATGAAACGAATTTTTGGGGAACCTCAATGCGCCCGATGCGTTTCACACAGCCTGCCTTGCTTTGCTCCCGGGACAGTTCGGTGGATTTTCTTCCACGTTCGCATGCCAGCCGCTAGCCTAGAGCTGCTCATTGTTTCTCATATTGTTTTTCTTTTGGTGCTCTGTGCTCACCCTTGTGACGTGTAGTTGATGCCAGCGTGGATCACATCGGGTATGCAACTGTTCATTGTCACCGTCATTGTGTCTACTTCTGGTTTGTAATGAAGTCTGTTTTATCGTGTCTCGCCCCATGCCACGTGAAAAGGAACAGCGAAGAAGCGAAGAGGACAATGAGGAACAAAAGGGCCATGGAGGAGGATCGGGATGGGGAGGAGGGAGGTGAAGAAGGAGGAGGGTGAGCATGACGAAGATGAGGAGCGGGGACGAGGAGAGAATGCAGGGGAACTGGATGAGGGAGAGGAGGATGTCGGTGCATGATGGTGACCGAAGAGGAGGTGGAGGAAGAAGAGGAGGAGGAGGACATGGGAAGGGACGGAATGCTGATGCTGATGATGATGGCGACGATGCTGATACTGATGTTGATGATGTTGACGATGATGATGCTGATGACGATGATGGTGATGATGATGCGGAGGATGAGGATGAGGCTGAAGATGATGTTGCCGATGATGATGATGATGATTATAATGATGATGATTATGATGATGATGATGATGATGATGATGATGATGCTGATGATGATGATGATGATGATGATTGTGATGGTGGTGATGATATTGATGCCGATGATGCTGATGTTGATTAGGCTGCTGATGATGCTAATGATGATGGCGATTATGATGATGATGATGGTGGTGCTGATGCTGATGCTGATGAGGCTGATGGTGGTGGTGGTGCTGGTGGTGCTTGTGGTAGTAGTGGTGATGGTTATGATGTTATGATGATGGTGGTGATGATGATGGTGATGACGATGCTGCTGATGCTGATGCTGATGCTGCTGATGCTGATGCTGATGCTGATGATGATGCTGATGCTGATGATGATGATGATGATGATGATGATGATGATGATGATCATGATCATGATCATGATGATGGTGGTGGTGATGGCGATGGTGATGGTGGTGATGACAGTGGTGATTGTGATGGTGATGCTGGTGGTGCTTGTGGTAGTAGTGATGATGGTTATGATATTATGATGATGGTGGTGATGATGATGGTGATGACGATGAGGACCAGGCATTTTCTCCTTGCTTCCTTTCTTCTCCTCCTCCTCCTCCCCTCCTCCTCCTCCACATACCCCCTCTGCCCAGCAGGCAAGAGGCGGCTCAGCTCGCGATGCAGGGCGCCGAGGCCGCGGCGGGACTGGGCGGCCATGTCGTCGACGTCGTCGTCTTCGTCGTCGCCGCCGCCGCCGCTGCCGCCGCTGCTGTAGTCGTCGAGGCCTTCGTCGTCGTCATCGTCGTCGTCGTCGGCGGCGTCGTCGGCGTTGTCGTCGTCGTCGTGGTCCCGCCTCGAGGGCGATACAGGGGGGCAGGGGGAGAAGGAAGGGAGGAGGGAGGAGGAGTAGGAGGAGGGTGGACTGGATGCCGATGGGGGGAGCGAGGTCCTGAGAGGAGGGGGTCTGGGGCCATGAAGTAGGGCGGGGGCGGACGAGGATGAGGAGGAAAGTGCGTGGAGTGGATGAGGAGGACTTTCAAAGAGGCGTTCGAGGACTCGGATTTGTAGGCTCATGAATCGCCCCCGTGCGTCTTCAAATGGAACCATTTATTTCAGACACGCACGCCATGATGCGTGCAGACATGGCGACGATGAGGATATCGACGGTGCGTACGATGAGCGCGATGCGGATGGCAATTCCGGCGATCGTCACGACAACGGTGATGGCGAGGACGATGCGGATGTTGGTGACGGTGATGATGATGGTCAGGAAGACGATGGTACAGACTCTTGTGATGCTGCCGGTGATAAGTTTGCCCCTCCTGCGATGCTACCAACCAGAGCGCTCGGCGCCGCGAGCGGTTTTGGCTGATGGTCTGCACCAGACGCGGGCGAACGGCGCTTTCTTGGTTTGGGCACCGCGAGCTCGCGGGGCCTGCGCCGCGCTGGCCACGCCCTTCTGGAGTGTGCGGCAGCGCGCCCGGGGAAGACCTCGAGGCGTCGAACCGCACGAGGCAAGAGATAACGCAGGCCCCCTGCTCGGTCAGCACGGAGTGGTGCCGTCCACGCGGCATACTTGTCTTCGGCGCGAGCATGTGGGCACGCCCGCTCCCCCTTCGCCTGATATTCGTTTGCTTCTGCAGTCATGGCTGTTCGCAGCCGGGTGGGAGCAGAGAGGATGGAGGAACAATAGTGGTGACGAGGAGGCACTGCTGGAGCCCGTTGTCCTGCCCATCGCCAGCTCCCCTCCATGGGGTCTTCGGAGGGACATGCCGGAGGCTAGGTATTTTTGCCAGTTTCGTTGCCGTTCCCCTTGTTTGATTGTCTTATTCTCAGTCTCCCTCTTCTTTTCCCTCTGGTTCCATCCCCCTTTTGTTTTTGTCTGAATGCCAGTCTGTCTCAGTCTGTCTGTCTCTATCTCTGTCTACCTGTGCCTGTCTGCCTCTGCGTTTCTTTGTTTGTTTCTGTCTGCTGGTACCTTTTCCTCTCACTCCTTTTTATTTGTTTTCTCTCTCTCTCTATATATCTATATGTTGTTCGTTTTGTCCGTTTGTTTATCTTCCTCTCTCTCTATCTCTATCTCGCTCTCTTGCTCTCTTTCTCTCTTTATATTTCTCTCTCTCTCTCTGTCTCTCCCGCCTTCTTCTGTCTGTCTATTTCTCTGTCTCCCCGTATCTCTTTCTCACCGGATCTACCTGTCTATCTGTCTTTCCGTCTGTCTGGCCGATTGACTGGTTGACTGAGTGTCTGTCTGTCTGATTGCCTGTCTTTCTGCCTATCTGTCTGCCTGCTTCCCTGTACGTTTCTCTCTCCCTCCCTCGCTCTCAATCCCTCTGTCTTCCTCTCTTCCCCCCTCTCTCTCCATTTCTCTCCCTCTGTCTCTTTCGGCTGCGGCGGCTCACTGGGCTGCCACAGCAATGACCTTCGAGGGCTGTCGCGGAGCTCGCACCTCGCCAACGGGCCCTCCCGACGAGCACGGAGCCGCCCGCGTCACCACGACCACGGCCACGGAGCGTTGAGGCTTGGTAAGCGTCCACTCCTCTGGACCCCACTAGGCCTACGGGACGCATACACCAACCAACCACCACCGACGGCCATCTCGAGCCTCACACCGAGCCTCGGGACTCCGGGCGGTCTGGTCTTTCCACGACGACGACGAGGAGGGCTCTCTCGGGCTTGGCGGTGATCGCCGCAACCCTGGCGAGTTTTCGCCCACGCCCCAGGCCCCTCACGGCCACTGGAGCGCCCAGCAGTCACCTGAGGCCGGCGGCTCCACCGAACACGCTCGCGTCGAGGCCCACCGCAAGGATCGCGCCAGTGGCTCACCCGCTTCAGTCGTCAAGAATGCGGGCACCCTCAGGACGGCAATCCACACTCACGAAGGTGCGTTGGCCATCCACGAGTTAAGATCCTTTCGCATTGGGAGAGCAATTCCGAAACGACGGCGCTGCTGACCCGAGCGGCAGCTCAGCCAGCCCACGCGCCTCTGCCTCTCCCGATGCTGTGGCGAGAGGATCTCGCGGAGCGTCCTCAACGGACGCGTCCGACGGTCCTTCACCCGACAGAGCGTCCTCAACGGACGCGTCCGCCGGCCCCTCGGCAACGCTCCGCACCGCCCCCCAGGCCGCCGCGCCCAGCGGGCCGCAGCCTAGGATTGCCCCGCTCGTCAGCGGGCCGCCCGCGCCCACGTCAACGCCCGCACGCGGCGCATCCGCCGCCTCCTGTCTTACGGCGACGAAGCGCTTGCCCAGGCTGCGGTCGCCACCGACACGCTTGTCAGCGTTCGAGCCGCAGACGAGGCCCAGCCGCGCACGCGGGCCCTCCCCACGGCCACGCTCCGCGAGCTCCGCGCTGCTCGCGCTGCTGCGTCCAGCGGCGGGGCGAGCCAACCGCCACGCCACCGACGCCCCGCTGCGGGTCCACAGCATCGTGCGTCTTCTCGTGCGCCGAGGGCCGCTGCTTCCCTCGTTGGCGTCGCTGTGCGCCAGGCCCAGCCCCAGGCGTGGGGCGCACGCCCGGCTTGCCGCGCGGCGTCAGCGCCGACTCACGGTCCGCGTCGGTGCGCCTCTCTCCCTCTCTCTTCCTCCCTATGTCTGCCTCTCCCTCTCTCTCTCGGTCTCTCGTGTCTTCTCGTGTCTTGATCAGTGTCATATTTTCTTTCCCTCTCTCTACACATACGTACTTGTCTTCTCATTCCCGTGTGGCATGCGAGCGCGCCTGCGTGGACGTCAAAGTTTGATTCTAGGCGGAGGACGGGTCCCTCCAGGGTTTTAAGTTGGTGTGCGTACAGCAAAGGAAGGGAGTAGGGGAGGGAGGAGGAGCATGAGAAAAAAGAGGATGGATGAGGAGGAGGAGGAGGAAGCATAATAGAAAATAGGAGGATGAGGATGACCATCACGAGCGACGACGACGATGACAACGATGAGAACGACGAGGACGAGTGGCACGAGGACGAGGGCAACAACGACAAGGACGACGACGAAGACAACGACAACGACACTACGACGTGGACGGCGACAACGACGATGACCTGACGACGATGACCTGACGACGATGACCTGACGACGACGATCTGAGGACGACGGCGACGACGACGACGACGGCGATGGCGACGGCGACGGCGACGGCGGCGGCGGCGATGGCGGCGATGACGGTGCGCCTCGGCTATCCCCCCCCCTGCAGCTGGCGAAGCAGCGCGCGCACGAGGAGGCCAGCAGGAACCCGGGCGGACGAAAGGGCGGGGTTTTGGGGAGGGAGACCGCAAAAAGGAGGCCCCAGGGGAGGCTCCAGCCAGCCTCAGGGAGCCCCAGACGGTGCCTGGAAACCGAAGGGAGTGTCAGGGAGCCGCAGGAAAGCTTGGGAAGATCCAAGGGGTCCACTTCTGGGCAGCAGGGCAGAGATCGGGCACGGATCAGCAGGAGGGGAAAGGCTCCTGGAGGGAAGAGGAGTCCAGCAGGATTTTGGCTTTAGGCTATCTGTGCTGGTGCTTTCCGGACCCGCGCGGGGTATGAATTGATCAAAGCTCCCGACGTCTTTGACGATCTGCGATATGGATATGCGTACGAACAACATACGATAACGTTTTCACACCGACGCGTAGTAGCTTAAGGGCCCTGTCAGATTCGGGCCAGAACGAGCAGCGTAGGCAAATCCTTGCCACGCTGCTGTGCACTATTACTTGCACATGCTGCTGCTCTCCACGCTACACATGGTATGCAGCGTATGTCCCACTCAGGGTCTGAAGAGAGACGTAACATTGAACCCTCAGCATTATGACATCGAAGCCGAAGGCTGACACGATATATGAAACGCAGCAATACAAGAAATGGAAAGACATCTCCTAGCTGGCTGAGCCCGCCTGGCTAGGTCGCATGTGGGTGCGTAGCTGCACCTTCTCAGTAGTGGTCTCGCCCGCCCAGGCGGACCACTGCGTGGCGTGCACGAATCGCCACTGGGCACCGCTGAGCTTGTAGGTGTATATATTGAGTGTCTGCCAACCGTCCTCACGTCGTAGGTCTCCTCCGAGCTGGCCGACATCCCGTCGGACATGTAGCCGTAGTTGTGCTGCTCGGGCTTGTCGTTCTCGCCTTGACCTTCTTGTCGCTCTCGTCCCTGTAATCCTTCTTTGCGTTCTGCTGGACAACAGCCTCCAGTTTGATTTGCATGAGCTCCATGTCGTACTTCGACTTGTTGAGTTGGTTGATGATTGGCCATGCCACATCCGCTCCAAGTATCAGAGCAATCATCGCAAGCCAGGGCACGAAGGTCTCGTTCTTGATCTCCCTGCCAACGTCGGCCGCTGCCCTGCAACAGCACGTTGCAAATGCTGCCAGCTGCATCAGTGGTGTCTTCGCTATTCTCGCCGCTGATGATGCGGCTGCTCGCGTCTGGTCGATGCTCCCCTGTCGCTCCTCCTCGGTCTTCTTCTTGGCTGTTCTGTAGGTCCGGCAGTGCGTCAGTTTCAAGCGTTTGTGCCGTAGTCTGTCTTCAAGGAGTTGCCGTGCTGCTACCTGCGTGAGCCCATCCGCGCGCTGTCTCTCGGATGATACCCATACCCACTGGGTGTTGGTCGCCTCTATCCGTTCGCGTAGTGCGAGCACCTCGATGCTGGTCCTCTTGTCCTGAAAGCTTGTGATGCTCTCCTTCTTGGTTGCGTTGCAGATGGCCTTCGTGTCGAACACTAGTGCTGATTCTCCAGCGTAGTGAGCGCAGTCGTCCTTTGTGATGTAGGGCCGCCCAGAACTGCTTGACGAACTCTAGGGCGCCCATGCCTGCTGCTGCTGCTTGTGAAAGAAGATCTCGCGATGCGTAGCAGCTTGAACGACTTCCAGTCGACCACGGTGAAGATAAGCTCGAATCCTTGTAGTACCCTCTCGTGGCACGCCAGGATGGCATAGCCTCCTTGTCTGGATCCGTCGTGTCGAACTTCAGGCTGGATCCGCCATAGCCACGAACGCGATGTCGCTGATCTGACCGATCTTGAGTATCTTGAATCCGATGTCCGCGTTCTGCTTGTAGAGCCGCAACGTCTTGCTGCACTCCCTCGCTATGGCCACCGCCGCCGTCGGTAGCTGGCCTTGGTGAACGCGGACCGATGCCGAGATGTGTTGGCACGCCTGTGAGCTGGGCCGATGTAGTTTTCCGGGCAGGGCTCGTAGCTGGCGCTTCTCCTTCCGGTTGAGTTCCCTCTGATCGTTGCTGTTCTTTTGATCGAGGGTGGTAGGCTTGAGATTCTTGGCTTAGGTGATCATCTTAGCTTGGATTTCGGTGCGGTCCACGGACTTGCTTGAGGGTGTCTGCTGATCTAGATCGACCTCGCAGTAGTCCATCTTGCCGTCCTCGATCCACTTCCTGGACTTGAACTTCTGCTTGGCCTTCTTGAAGCTGGGCCATGTGGGGACGATATTGGTGTGTGCCTGCGTCCTGCTTCTATTTCTTTCCATGAGATCGACTTCCTCAACAATTTAAACGTCAACGCGATGTGATTCGTCTGGTCCTGGACGCCTCCTGCGGCAGCGAGGACGGTGAAAGTGAGGATGGGGATGCTGCTGCTGCTGGTGGCGACGGCGAGTCTGGGAGCATTTGGGGTGCGTTTCGGCATCCGGGAACGCCTGGGAGCTGGGAGCACCTGGAGCAGTGTGAGGAGCGCTTGGGTCCAAAATCGGAGTCGGCGAGGGGTGCTCGAAAATTGATGAATTATGTATGTGCCATCGAACAAGTGGTTGTTCGACCTCATGTTCCCAAGCGCGCTTCGGGGCCAAGGAGAAGGTATGTGGTGCGCCAAGTTGAATGTTATCACATACGAAGGCGAGGGCTGGGCCGAGGTTAAGATCAACGCATGTGCACCGGCATACTGTTTTTGTGTATGATGGTGAGTGTTGGGTCGGTGCGAATATCAGCCGATTTCTACAACATCATATCGTTTGCACGATGCAGGAAAGAGGAATGGGATACGAATCCTGCTGCGCGCGGGTGGTTTCGGCCCCACCGCGGGGCGAATTTCTCGAACAGTCTTTCCCTCCACTTTGTCGGGCGGGGCCAGGAATGTGTTGCATTATCCCAGAGCGTTCTGGAACGTTTTCAGAGCGTCCTGGGGCTCTCTGGAACTGCCGCGGCGCCCGATTCATCGCCGTCCGATTACTCCGTGTCCGATCATGTCTTGGTTGTGGTTTTGTCATCTCATATTCAGGTGAGGCCCGGTAGAGACCATTGTAGTTGGCCTTCTGGAGTCCGTTCGTCGCCAGGGTTCGGCGTCAACTTGGGGAAATGGCACACGTGGGCCCCGAAGGGGTCCCATGGGTCGAATTTGAGCTGCCGTTGTTCCGATTTGCTCCCTCCCCGCCTTCGTCCCGCCCCGACAGGAGGAAGGGCGCCCTGATGGTCGAGGGCGACGCGGAGCTGCGCCGAAATCCCGTCGCCATCCAAACTGCCAGCGCTGGCGCCGTCTCAGCGGCGCGCCGAAACGGGGAAGCGATACTCTATCAGCGCGTTGCACTTCTCGAAAAGTGCCGACGTGACATTACTAGTGTTATTGAATATTTTTGCGACGACAGTTTACAATCATTACTATATACTGTTACTACCACTACTACTACTACTACTACTACTACTACTACTACTACTACTACTACTACTACTACTACTACTACTACTACTACTACTACTACTACTACTACTACTACTACTACTACTACTACTACTACTACTACTACTACTACTACTACTACTACTACTACTACTACTACTACTACTACTACTACTACTACTACTACTACTACTACTACTACTACTACTACTACTACTACTACTACTACTACTACTACTACTACTACTACTACTACTACTACTACTACTACTACTACTACCTACTACTACTACTACTACGACTAGTACTACCACCACTACTACTACTACTACTACTACTACTACTACGGCTACCGTTGCTACTATCACTTTTACGACGATTTGTTTACTACGTATACTTCTACGACTACTACTACCACAATTATTACTTCTACTACTACTACTAGTACGGTGACTACAATGACGACGGCGACTACTACTACTACTACGACTGCGATTGCTATTGCCACTCGTGCCACTACGACTACTATTAGTATTATTCCTGCTGGTGCTAGTACTAGCACTACTACTACTACTACCACTACTACTACTACTACTACTACTACTACTACTACTACTACTACTACTGCTACTGCTACTGCTACTGCTACTGCTATCACTACTACTACTACTATTACTACTACTACTACTACTACTACTACTACTACTGCTACTACTGCTACTACTACTACTACCAGTACTACCACTACTGCTATCTCTACCTCTGCCACCATTACTACTACGACTATTTCTACGAGGAGTTCAACTGTAATTGTTATTGCTACTACAATTGCTACTACCTGTATGTCTACAGCCACCATTAGTTCTGCTACCATCTACTACTGCTACTACTACTACTACTATTACTACTACTACTACTACTACTACTACTACTACTACTACTACTACTAGTACTAGTATAGTACTAGTACTAGTACTAGTACTAGTACTACTACTACTACTACTACTACTACTACTACTACTACCACTACTACTACTACTACTACTACTACTACTACTACTACTACTACTACCTGTTATATTACTATCACTACTACCAGTGCTACTGCAGTTACGCCTTTATGTGCGACTCATACCCGTACTCTGCGTTCCTTTCTTTCTTTTGTTATTCCTACTCTTACACCTGTACTACATCTATTACTTCAAGTACCACTGGTTTATGACAATGGCTGCTGCTAGTGTTACAGCTGCCATTACGATTCGTACTGCGAGTACCACTACTGCTACTACTAGTACTACTACGACTGCCCCTACCACTACCATCACCACCACCACTGTTACGAATGGTAGATTGTTACTACTACTACTACTACTACTACCACTACTACTACTACTACTACGTTAACTACTACTACTATTACTAGTAGTAGTAGCAGTAGTAGTCGTAGTAGTAGAAGCCGTAGTAGTAGTAGTAGTAGTAGTAGTAGTAGCCGTAGTAGCAGTAGTAGTAGTAGTAGTAGCAGTAGTAGCAGTAGTAGTAGTAGTAGTAGTAGTAGTAGTCGCAATAGTAGTATTGGCAGTAGTAGTAGTAGTAGTAGTATTGGTAGTAGTAGTAGTAGTAGTAGGATCAGTAGTAGTAGTAGTAGTAGTAGTAGTGCTAGTGCTACTGCTACTACTACTACTACTACTACTACTACTACTACTACTACTGTCATTACTATTACTAGGTCTACTACGACAACTACTAGTACTACCATGTATATTTCTACTACTACTACTAGTAGTAGTACTACGACAACAACTATTACTACCAGTATTATGTTTATTACGATCACGGCGACGACTAAGACGAAGGCTGAGACTACGACTACGACTACGTTTGCGATGATGTTTATTTTGAATACTATTACGATTACTATTACCATTACTTCCTGTACTACCAGTATTCCTACTACAACGTTCTACTATGCTCCTACTCCTGCTAATCCTACTACCACCACTACAACCATTACTTTTACCACTACTACCACTACGCCTACTACTACGAAAGCTACTACCACTTCTACTACTACTACGACAGTTACTATTTCTATTACTACTACTTCTTACACTACTACTACTACTACTACTACTACTACTACTACTACTACTCCTACTACTACTACTACTACTACTACTACTACTACTACTACTACTACTAGTACTCCCACTCCTAGTACGACTACCACTATTACCGCTACAACTACCACTACTACTACTACTACTACTACTACCACTACTACTACTACTACTACTACTACTACTACTACTATTCCTGCTGCTGCTGCTGCTGCTGCTACTACTACTACTACGACTACTACTACTACCAGTATTATCGCTGCTACTGAAAGCGTTATTTTTACGATGACTACTACTACTTCTATTACTTCTACTTCTACTACTCCTGCTACCTACCACTACCACCATTTCTTCTACTACTACTGGTACTTACTTACTTACTGACTTACTACTACTACTACTACTACTACTATTACTACTACTACTACTACTACTACGACGACTATTAGTTCTATTACTACCGGCGAGGAGGCAAAGGACGAGCAGGGGAAGGACGAGTTTTATTGCCACCCCGAAGCCAGGTGTGGGGGCCCAGCAGCATTAAAGAACCTGCACTCGCAAACGTCAGGACAACCAATGCTTGCCTCGATGTAATGGATAAAAAATCCCCCCGCGGCGGATCCAGTCCATTTGCGAGTAGTTCCTTGGCGAGTAGTGGCACGCGCTTGTCTAGAGAGGGGGACAGGCCTTGTCAGAAAGCAGCGCTTTTTCTCAGAACCCCCCCGGCCTCTTCTGAAAAACCCTTCGTGGTTTCGGAGAAGGTTTAGAAGGCCTTTCTTGAGGCCCGAGGCCTTCTGAGCTTTTTGTGCCTTCTGACACGTCCCGCCCCCACTGCCTTCCCCTGGGCGCGCCGCCGACCATCGCCGTCGTCGCCGTCGTTGTGGGATCGTTTCTCAGCGTTAGCTTTGATTTACGTGTGGAACGAGTTTTTTTGTCGTGGCCATTTTTTGTAATCTTGGCCCCGCCGCGTGCGGCGTCCTCCAAAAGTCAGGGTGAAGGACTGGTTGTTTGGCTGGCTGGCTGGTTGGCTCGCTGGTTGCTGGGTCATTTAAATTGTTGGTTAGTTGGGAGTATTTGGTTGGTTAGTTGGGTGGCTGGGTATGTTGATTTTCACAGCTTCGCACATGCTTCACATGCCTGGCGCTGCGGCGCCCACCTGCAACGCCCTCGCCCGCGATAGCTGCAGGTCCGAGTTTCGAGTTCCGAGTTCCTGGCGGGCTGCTTGGTTGGTTGGCGGGTCGGTCGTTGATCGGTTCGATGGTTGGGTGGTTGACCATTGTGCCGGTTTTTCCATTGGTTTGGTGGGCTGATCGGTTGGTTGACCGGCTGGTTAGTTGGTTGGTTGATTTGTTGGCTGGTTAGGTGGCCGTTGTGTGGTTGGTTTGTTGGTTGGATGGTTGGTTGGTTGGTTTGTTGGTTGGCCGGTCGGTCGGTTTTTAGGTTGTTTTGGTTGGTTGGCCGACTGGCTGGTTGACCGGTTGGTTGGTTGGCCGATTCGTCGTTTGTTTTTTTTCGTTACGCGTGTCAACATAGGGAGATGGCATTGGTATTCTACTTAACTCGTTGCGTTTGTTGCGCAGTGAGACGGGATCGATGCTCGTCGAGTGGCATCGCAATGTGGGCGTACTCGTGTCAACCCAATTTCGGCGTGCAAAAACAACTGTTCTATTCTGCCCGTCACGTGGCAAGGCAAACAGACACCACACACCACAGCCGAGCATCCAGAGGGTCGCGAGGGCACGGTCAGTTGCAGGATTGGTAACCACCAGGGAGAGCTACGGTTAATCGAGGGGGGAGAAGGAAGGAGAGGAGGAACAGAGGAAGACACGGAACGTTGCGATTGTAAACGTATACTGCAAGTGTTGGGTCAGTTTTCAACAGACGACGCCCATTGTTGCCAGGGCCGGCCCCTTTTGCGGTGCGCAGTCCAGTCTCTAAGAGACCCGCTTGCATTTAAATGTATTTTTTTACACAGGAGCCTGCGCCATGGCCACTAATCTTATTACAATTTTTCTGGGCTTGAAAGAAGCGGAGTTGAGCAAACATATGATTTCTTTTTACACGAGGCTCCTGGAGCCCGTTCCGTGCCTCGCAGCCGCCAGTTGTCAGTCCAGGATTACAAATTTGTCGGGATGGATTCCAGGAGGAGTTCATGCGCAGATTTGTTGAGCGGATTCTGGACCCAGGCCCCCTCCCCATCACGACACGGCTCGGCAAGGCAGACAGGCAATCCAGGCCTCTCGTGCCCTCTCCCCCTCCGTCTCTCTCTCTCTCTCTCTCTAACTCTTTCTCTCCCCCCCTTTGGGTCTGATTTGAGCTGTGTGCATGCATGCTTGTTCTGCTTGTCTGGACTCATTGTTGCGATTTGCGATTTTCGAGTGGACTCTGGTCGGACGGCGAGGGGGAGGAGGACGAGGAGGACGAGGAGGACGATGAGGACGTTGAGGAGGTTAGAAGTAGCCCACCCGCGCATGGATGTGTTAGACTATATGCCCCCATATCTGGGGGGAGTATGTCGTTCCATGGCGTTGCACTTCAGCTCTGCCAGCAGTTCGCCTGCAGCAATTGCTTTCTTCAATTCTCACTTGCGCAGTAAAGTCTTCTCCGCGTAGGCTCCATCCCTCGCTCCCTCCCGCCGACGACGACAGCAATGACGGTGGCGACGACGACGACGACGATAACGGCGAGACGAGTAATGGCGACCACAGCGGGTGGAGTGTTCGAACCCCGAACTCCGGAGGCGGGCAGTCGACGGGCGCGATCTTTGCGATGACGGACAACAGTGACGAAGATGATAGCGGCGACGACGGAATGCCAAAAGGTGGATTGCCAAAAATGTGGTTGCCGGTGACGCGCGCGGTCCAGCTTCCGAGTTCTGAGGCCCGGGCCCCCCCGGGTCCAGCGTCCGAAGCCTGGCGTCCAGGAACCGATGCGGTTCAAGATATGTGGTGAAAGCTATGCGGCGTGAACTTGGTTTTAGTTGTGAAGGTGACAGCTGTGCGGTGCAAGCTATGTGGTGTATGCTATCTTGTGTGAGCTGGGCGGTGTGAATTGGAGGTGAAAGCTATAGGGTGTGAGCTATGTGACTTAAGACATGTTGTGCAATCTATGCGGTTGCACGCTGTGTGGTGTAAGCTATGTTGTGAGACCAATGTCGTGTAAGCTCGGAGCACGAGGCGCCCACGAGGCGCCCACGAGGCGCCCACGAGGCGCCCACGAGGCGCCCACGAGGCGGCACGGGCGGCAGCGTGACGAAAACCAGGCATACCCAGCATCCAGCTCCGTGAGCAGAGTGAGTAAGAACCTCTGGGTGCAGACACCGTTTGGGCGCTCTGGGGCGTTAGGATCCCACGCGTTTTCACGCTTGTCCCGCCTTTTGGCGTTACCACGTGTTTTCACGCTTGTCCCGCTCGTGGGCGTTAGGAACCCACGTGCTTTCACGCTTGTCCCGCTCGGGGGCGTTATGAGCTCACACGCTTTCACCTTTGTCCCGCTCTGGGGTTCTCGGAGCCCACGTGTTTTCACGCTTGTCCCAGTCTGGGGCGTGAGGAACCCAACAGTCCCCGGACCCGCCGCTGTGGCCGCCGCCGCCCCGCCTTCCCGATGGGGGACGGCCTGGCTGCGCCGACCTCGCACGCAGCAGCGAGGAACCGCCAGGCATGGGGGGAGGCGATCGCGGCCGCCTCCTCTCCTCTCTCGGCAGGGGGGCGAGGGGGAGGGAAGGAGGAGGGAGGTGACAAGAGGAGGAGGAGGAGGAGGAGGAGGAGGCGGAGGAGGAGGAGTTGGAGGTGGCGGAGGAGGAGGAGGAGGGGGAGGAGGAGGGGGAGGCGATCGCGGCCGCCTCCTCTCCTCTCAGGCGATCGCAAACGTGGATCAAGGGGGCGTGGATTCGTGACGGGTCCCGTTTCCATGGGACATCGCGGATTTCCGCCGCCGAACGAGGCGGCACTGGCCGCATTTTGGGGAGGGCACTTCCCCCGATCCATGGATTGTGGCGAACGCGCGCCAAAACCATGGAACGTTAAATCCATGTTTGCGCGCCCCCGATCCTCTCCGGGCCAGCAGGAGCCGGACATGACCGTCCCGTACCGCGTCGTCCGAGAGGACGGGACCGCGCACAGCAGGAGCCCGGAGCGGGAGGCCTGGAGCACCCGCCCCAGACCCCATACCCCCGAGAGATTCCTGTCCCGGAGTCCCCCCTTGACCCCCCACCTTGTCCTGGCATCCCCACCTCCGTACCCTCTGGACGAATCGCGGCTCAACTGACAGGGGTCCATGCAAACGGTGGTCAGCCAGAGCACCAGATTGCAGGATCCTGCAAAACCAGGGTTGCACTGACGCGATGGGGTCAGACCCCAATCGGACGGACCAGATCCCAACCGGACGGTCCAGATCTCAGCCGCTGAGAAAACCCGAGCGGTCCAGATCCCAACCGCCAGACAAAGGTATATCAAGCTTTGTTATTGTATGATCGTCTTGGCAATGAAAACCGAATGGTCTCCCTTAATTAAGGGAACTCATTTGATGTTCATAGTGTGCAGTTGGGATCTGGACCGTTCCACTGCGCTATTATAGGCGAGTTCTAAGTGCTCCAGGAGGGCTTCATATAGGCTCAATGTACTCCCAAACATGAGTGTACACGAACGTGAACGCAACGTAGACGAAACTTGGATCAAACGTATACGGAACTGATGGGACGCATGTCCGAAAGATAACAGAAACGCGTGCGAAACGTATGCGGAACGCTTCAGACATGCATGCAGAACGTATGCACAATGTACACGAAACGTATACGCAACCTTTGGCACGTCTATGATGGTAAACACCTCTCAGGAACCCTCGCAAATCCTATCGGCATTTTGCAGTAATATTTCACGAATCTTCAGGAGTCTTATGGGAATCCTGACGGGGATCCTGAGGAATCCTTCGGGGATCCTCAGGAATCTTGACGAACCCTCACGAATCTCCCGGAATCCTTCAGAAATCCCGTGGAATCCTCAGCAATCCCCAACAATCCCCGGAAAGCCTGCAGGAATTCCCAGGTAATCCCGGGGGAATCTCTTGGGATTCCAATATGAAGCGCTCAGACATCCAACAGGAATCCTCGGGAATGCTCAGGAGCACCGCAGGAAACCGTCAGGAATTCTTTAGGAATCCACAGGAATCCTCCAGGAGTCCTCGAGAATTCCCAGGAATCCTTCAGGAATCTTCAGTCATCCACTTGGAATCCTGAGGAATCCACCAGGCATCCAAAGGAATCTGAAGGAATCCTCAGGAATCCATCAGTGCAAACGGGGGTCAATCACAGCGCCAGATCTTGTAGGATCCTGTAGAGACAGGGTCGCATTGACCAGGGCTTGTGTGCAGGATCTGCAGGATCTTGGAGGATTTTACAGGATCCTGTAAACCCGGGTCTGGATTGACCAAGATCAGCAGATCCCCGACCCTGCCTGCTTTTCGCCCCTAGGTGGTGTTTCAGTCCCGGGTCCTGGCAGGTGCCGCAAACGACGGACAGTTTCCGTCTTGTTTTTTCCATCATTTCGGAGTTCTGGGTCTTTTTTTTGTCTCCACCACCCAAACATCATGATATTATGGTGCTGTGTGTGCGTCGCCCCCGCCGCCAGGGGCGACGCGCGCGCCGAGAAATCTTATGGTATTAGCTCCGTGGCCAGCGCTCTCTGGCCATGCCGCTTGGGAAACGAGATGCCACAACATGTTTGCGCTGTATGATCGGGTCGGACGCATGCCTCCTGGGAGGGCGCACCGTGCTGTTATGTCCCTGCGCGTCTCGCCTCACCCCCCTCGTGGCGAGCAGGAGCCTCAACCACACGAGCAGGGGCCAGTATCCGGGGCGCCTGGCGGCGAGCCCGCCGACAACCCAGGGTCGCGCACCGCCCCCAGACGTGCATGCGCCGTGTCTCAGAGGGCCAAGGGGTCAGGAGCAATGATAGGGGGGGATGGGCCCCCGGCATCGCGCGTACGTTTGCATTTTTTCGGCGAGGACCGTCGAGGAGCATCTTGGATGATCGATCACATTGAAACACGCACGACACCAAAAATTACACTGGGAATGGACGTCCGAGCGACGACAATGGCATAGGGGGGAATGCATCGACCCCCAATCGCCCGTTGATCGCCGATAGGGGTCCCATAGGCCCACCCATCCCAGGAACTTTCTGATTTTCTATCGCGGGTCTATCGCCGATCTCTCGGTGATGTACCGCCGACTCCAGTTCGATGCTTACGCCCCTGCCTATGACAGTGATTCGTAAGGCCCCCACGATCTCCACTGCTGATCTCCAGGATCTCCTGTTGCCCCATACGTGCTGCAGTCATGAGGGCCGCGGCAGGAGGAGGAGAAGGAGGAGGGGAGGAGGAGGAGGAGGAGGAGGAGGAGGAGGAGGAGGAGGAGGAGGAGGAGGGGGGAGGACAAGCTAGGTGCGCTCGCGTCATATCTGACATCCTACCCCTTCCTCCCATCCCTTACCATGGCGCAGATCCCCTCTCTACTCGCACAGTCGGATGTCGAGCAGGGCAATGATCCCGAAAGGGTACGCGATGCATTGTAGAGCACGGCATGGCATGGCGTAGAAGAGCACCGCAAAGCGTAGTATCAACCTAGCATTGCATTGCACGCCGTGCCATGGCACGAGAAATGACGCCAGCGCTGCAGCGGGAGCACGAGTCGAAACATACGGAAGCGCGGAAATGAGGCCAGCGCTGCAGCGGGAGCACGATTCGGAACGAGCGGAAGCGCGGAAATGAGGCCAGCGCTGCAGCGGGAGCACGATTCGGAACGAGCGGGGCCCGAAAATAAGGCCGGCGCCTCAGCGAGAGCAGCATTTTGAGAACAAAATGCAAGCGAAAACCCAACTCCCGGGAAACCAGTGTGTAACAAAAACAGGACGCGGGGGGGGGGGGCGAACACTCCCAGCACGTCATCAGGGGAAGTGGGAGAGTAGTATTCATATTAAGTAATTGTGGAGAAGAGGAGGAGGAGGAGGAGGAGGAGGAGGAGGAGGAGGAGGAGGAGGAGGAGGAGGAGGAGGAGGAGGAGGAGGATCGGCTTTTTGGTTTCTTTTTGTTGTTGTTCTTCCGCCGGCGGGTTTCCCCTTGCGCTGAGCCTCCAGGGCCCGTCGTCCGCGGGCCCTGGGACCACCCGCCTCTTTCGCCACGGCGCGGCAGAGGCAACCCGCCCGCGCGTCCGCGCTGCCGGGGGCGCTTGGCGGATTCATTGGCCGGCTGCGCGAGAAAGGCAGGGCAGGGAGGGGCGGGACCATCAAACAAAATTTGGGACGCGAGCCTGTCCTGGGGAAGGGGTCGAGACATGTGGTAGGGAGCCTTGAGACGCGGGTCAACGCAAACGGGGGTCAGCCAGAGCGCCGGATCTTGCAGGATCCTGCTGAGTCAGGGGTGCACTGACCCAGGTTTGCATGCAGGATCTTGCAGGATCTTGCAGGGTCCCGCAAAGCCTGACTGACCAGGGTTTGCATCGACCCGCTTCCGACGGGGAAGGGGTCGAGACCTCTGCCGAGGATCGACAACTCAGATCGGCGGATGTGGGGGGGTCCAGGCCGCCCAGATGGGGGCGAAGTGCAGGGGTGTCAGAAGGCCGCGCCGCACTGCCGATGCACTGGCGATGCATCGGCGGAGCGCTGCAGAGGCTGGCGGAGGGCTGGGCCGGGCGCCGCGCCAGGTGCGGGTGCACGGGGAGGGAGGGCTGGGGCAGGGGAAGTTCGAACTTGGATCGGCGCCTGGGACCCCCTGGCGGCGCCTCCGGCGCCGCCTTGGGCGCAATCCGCGCGGCAGGAAGGGGGCTTCAGCGCAGGTCGTAGAATTCCGCGCGGACCACTACGAGAGCAGACCATTACTAGAAGTGCTGATCGAGGGAAGAACACGCTGACCATTACTAAGATGTCGCGGGATCCTGTCGGCGCGGTGCCTGCCGTCGCCGATTGAGGATGGTCGATGAATCGATGGTGACCAAGATGGACGGTGACCAAGCTCGTGACCGACATTTCCGCGTTCAGTCTTGTTCAAGGTCGCGGGTTTCTCTTCCTCCAGCTGAGGAGAACGACGGAGGCCGCTCCAGTGGGATCCTGGCAGATGGGGCCGGATGATCGCGCCGCATCGTTAGTGCACTGGCGATGGATCTCGAAGAACTCAAAGCGGCATCAACGTAAACTTTGGGAGCTCCGCGCGGATTTCTTGGTTGGCGCTAGACCCATCTCCCTGGCGCACGGAGCGCTCCATGGGTGATTCTCCGACCGCGTCCTCGCGGGCCCAATCTGAGTGGCCTCCACCTGGGGGTGCGGCGACGCGGCAGCGCAGAGAGAATCGCGCTTAGCGCAGTGCGGAGCGCGAAGTTTGGCGATTCAGAGCGGATGTTGCTTCATGTGTCCCTGGCCCAAGGTGGCTCCAGGATGTCCCGGGAGGCCCAGACGGCCTCGATGGCACACCTAACGAGGCCCAGAGGGCCCCAGGGGATGCAGAATGCCGCAAGCAGCCAGGTACTACCTGGACTAGGAGCGCCTCTTCGACAACTTCGATACTACTTCCGATAAGAGGAGGAGGAGGAGGAGGAGGAGGAGGAGGAGGAGGAGGAGGAGGAGGAGGAGGAGGAGGAGGGGGAGGGGAGGGGGGGGGGGGGAGGGGGAGGAGGAGGAGGAGGAGGAGGAGGAGGAGGCGGAGGAGGAGGTGGAGGAGGAGGAGGGGAGTATAAAATGGGACGGGATGCGGGGATTCGGACTTCTTTGCCGAAGCCTACAGTTCTAATACCTTGTGCCTTCGCGGGCTCTCCATTTTTCAGCCTCTCTTTGCAGTTCCTGCACCACTCAGGCGGTGTTTCTGTTTTCTTGCTACCAGAACGCTACAGCCTAGTTGCTAAACTCCGCCTAATGTTAACAAGAAAAGAGGCTGAGCCGGGCGGGGCCAGGATTGGGATACATCGTTCTTGAGCGTTCCAGAACGCTCTCAGAGCATCCCGGGACGCTTTGAAACGGCCGCGGCGTACGACACGTCCTCCCGAACCGCTGGTTCTCAGAGGTCCCCGATTTGTCCCACTTCGATTGTGTCCCAGTCCTGGCCCCGTCTTGGCGAGAGGCAGCAGCATTCGACCAACACAGGTAGTGGTAGGGTGCAGTGCCCGAGCCACTTTTGGAAAATGCTACCTTGTCATGACAACTAGATCAGGACAGCGATAGCCGGATCTATTAACTTACGCCATTTTTAGAAAAGCGTAGAAACCAGGTTTCGCATACTTCGCAACGCAGTTGTTATTTTTGGGCAGCTTCCTTTAAACGAAATCCTGCCATTTCCGTGACGATCGGCCACCCGTGAGAGTGACCCTTTGCTGGAGTGAGCTTTTGTGTGGGCCCACTGGGGTCTTCCCACCATTGAATGCAAAGCTATATCAGCGTCCTGCGCTCATGGGTTTGGTCTCCCGCGACCCCCATGAAGCCGCGCACCTAAGGTTACGCTTGCAGGGCCACCCATACATAATCTCGGGGGGCTGGGGGTGGTCAGGGGTAGCCTCTGGTTCGTGCCTCGAGGGCCCAAATCAGAGATGCCCCAGGAAAATGTTACATCCTGGATCATTCGGGCGTCCAACCACTCCCGGCTCAGCGAGGCTGGGGGTGGTCGGGGGTAACTCCTGGTTCGCGCGCGGGGGGCCCAAACTAGAGCTGCCCGGGGCTGAATGTATCCCGGACATCTCAGGCTTCAACCTTTCCGCGTATCCGAAACGACATGACACACTTTTTGCGTCGGCGGCTAGGCAGAGGGACTGCGCTGGCGAGTAAAGCAAAACGGGGTGCGTTGGGCGAGTTCAGCCACAATGCAGAGGGAGCCCCCCCCCTAAAAAAAAACCTCGAACCTCGAAGTTCGAACCTCGAGCTTCCCCCCTCGCTTGACCTGACACACCAGAGTCGTGCCGCTCCGGATCGGCACCGCCGGACTCCATGGGCGCCGCCGGGTTGCTGCGCCGCGACGCCGCGGCGCTGCGCTGCCGCCGCGGGGGTTGGTGGCGGGGCGTGCCGCGCGAGACGCCCCCCCCTTTAGGGCAGAGGGTCAGAGGTCGCCTTCATGTTGAGGACCACCAGAAAAAGGACGTCAAGGTGGGCAAACGCCTCGCCGGTTCAGCCGACGAAGATGTGCACCACGCAACCGTACGCTTATGTTTACAAGTTTTGGCTTGGCGCCGGGTGTGGTGCATCAGTTTCAGTTTCCCCGAACATGTTTTTTGCGTCCCTTGACGTCCGTCTGGGGTACTCTGCAGACTTGACCCCCCAGACGTACTCAACCCTTTTCCCCCTCTGGGCCCCTCCTGCGGCAACAGGGGGCCCAGATTGGAATCCAAGGCTCTGCAGCTGTTGGGCCACTGTGCGGGCGGGGGTTACGGCAGGCTCGAGTCGTGCCGACGCGGCGGCGACCCCGCTCGTGTTCAAGGTTGAGCGATAATAATTTTTGATTAGTTGGACCCGTTCCGTCTGTGACGGTGGGGTCGCATTTCCCACCCCCACCCATGACAGTAACGAATGTACGCGTAGGTCGCCCCTTCAGGCATGGCGCCATGCTCGCGGGTGGGCTATAGGCTATGGTGCTGACAGGCACGCTGTGGTGCTCACAAGCCTGCTGTGGCGTTCGCAAGCATCTGGTTCGCCGGGAATGCCAGGAACGCCGGGAATACGGTGTTGCTGCTACTGCTCCTGCTGCTTCTGCTGCTCTGCTCTTGCTGCTGCTCCGGTGCTCTTCCTGCTCTTCCCCCAGTTTTTCTTTCTCCCTTGCTCTTCCTGCTGGTTCTCCTGCTCTTTCTCCCGCTGTTCTGCCTTCTGCTCCTCCTGCTACTCCTGC